CCAGCCCATGATCGTTGCACTCTCTGCAGCAGAGTCTGAATGCTTGGCAGATTAGCTAGGGAAAGGACCTCAGCATCTGCTATCTTCTCCTGCCAGGTGATCTTCAGAATCTTCCTAAGACAATCCAAATGGAAGCGATTCTGTTTTCTGGCGTGGCGCTGGTAGGCTGTCCGGGTTTGGCAGGTGTATGGTGAGGTCAACGCAGATCAGCCAGCACCACACCACAGCAAATGGAGTTTGGAATGCTGCGGATGAGGTCACTCACCTTGGCAGTGTACTCTCCGGGGATGTCCACATTGACCACGAGGTTGACGCCCGCATTGCCAGGACGAGCTCAGCATCTGGGAGGCTTCGAAGGAAAGTGTGGGAGAGAGGAGGCATTAGACTGACTGCCAGAGTGAAGGTCTGCAGAGCCGTGGTGCTGCTCCCGTTGTCGTCCTTTGTGTACTCATCACCTGGCACAGTGTCTGCACACAGTAGGCACTTAATGAATGCAACAACTCTGTCAGAAGAGTGGGTGACGTGCTTCAGCATCGGTCCTCTGGAATTCTGGTTGGGCATTGCATTGCTCAGAGTTCCTAAGTCTTCTAAAGTTGTTTGTCTTCACGGTGTTGTTGTGACATAATTTGTTCTCTGAGTTATGCTCACTTCACTGTATCATTTCATGCAAATCTTCCCAGGTTTCTCTGAAACTATCCGCTTCATCATTCCTTATTAATTGTATTATATAGTATTCCTATCCCATACCTTGTTTAACTGTTCTCCAGTTGATAAACTTCTCCTTAGCTTTGCCACTATGAAAAATACAGTTGTGAATATTTTTGTGCATATGGGACATTTTCCTTTTTCTTTGATCACTTTGGGCTGTGGGCTGAGTAGGGCTGTTGCAGAGTCAAAAGGTTCAGTAGCTTTTGGGGAGTCGTTCCAGCTTGTTTTCAAGAATGGCCAGACCAGTTCATTAGCCCACCCGGAAGTGCTTCAGTATGTCTCCTTTTCTGTTGTTTGAACTGATCTCAGGGTTGTCTGGCGGAACCTCAGAGTTCCTTGGATGTTCGCCCTGCTACGGATTGGTGATGTAGAACATTTGTTCACGTGGATATTGATGGCTGGATGTCTTCAGAAAACTGCCCGTTCAGATTCTTTGACTTTATCAGCTGGGGAATTACTATAAATTTGAGGCTGTTTCATATGTCTTTGACATGAAAGAAGCTTGTAGAAAAGCTTTTTCCCCCTCATTTACCTGTTTCATTTCTTTTTTTTTTTTTGTTAGGCAGTGGGGTTAAGTGACTTGCCCAGGGTCACGCAGCTAGTAAGTGTCAAGTGTCTGAATCCAGGTTTGAACTCAGGTCCTCCTGACTCCAGGGCCAGTGCTGTATCTGCTGCGCCACCTAGCTGCCCCCCTGTTTCACTTCTAATGGTTAGAAAAGTCCCTTTTTCATCTCACATAATCAGAACTTTCTGTTTTATCGTCTGTGATTCTCTCTATGCTCTTCTAGATCGGAAAGGTATTTTTTCTGAGTCCCTCTAATTTATGTTCCCCTTAATGTCTAGTCATCTATTCATTTGGGACTTACCTTGACGTATGGTGGAAGATGTTGGTCTCTATCTAGTTTCTGCTTTTCAGTTTTCCCAGCAGTTTTTGTGGAAAGATGAATTCTCACCCTAGGAAGTTGGGTTCTGGAGTTTATCAGACACTGTTACTGTGTTCATTGGATTCCGTATGTCATCTTCTTAATCAGTTCCACTGATGGACCTCTTTATTTCTTTACCGGGGCCAGATCGTTTTAATGATGACTTTTTTATACAGTAGTTTGAGATTCTCAGCCTTTTGTTCTTCCAGATGAATTTTGTTGTTTTTTTTTTTCTAGCTCTGTAAAATAACGCTTTGGGGAGAGTTTGGCTGGCTCGGCACTGAATGGTTACGTTCATTTAGGTAGTCGTGTCATTTTCATTCCATTGGTTCAGCCTTCTCATGAGCAACTAATATTTACCCAATTATTTAGTTCTGTCTTTATTTCCCTAAAGAGTATTTTCCAGCTATGTTCCTATGACTCCTATGTGTTTGATCAACGCTTTTCATGGTCTGTCATCCTGCCAGGTGATCTTCAGAATCTTCCTAAGACGGTTCAAATGGGAGCGATTCAGTTTCCTGGCCCGGTGCTTTTCCATCCTCTTAGTTGTTATCTTGTTCACCCAGCAGCCTGGCAGCTGCCCACACAGGTGTGGCAGCTACAGCCAGAAGACCCAGGAAAGAAAGTTCTTGCTACCAAAGTCCTTGGCCTTGTCACGTGGTGCAACATGGCAAGCTGATAGAATTTTAAGAAATTAAGCCTTAGCCTTTTGGGTTATGATGGTTTTCCTCAGTATCCCTCCCCAAGGCCCTCCTAGAGAGCTGCCCCTTCTAAGAGAGCATTTTTTTTAACCAAAAAGAAACAAAAAGAGGAAAAAAGCCAGTACAGCTGATGACTGAAAAAGTCTGAAAACATGCAGCGTGTGCCACTTGTGGGTCCTGCCTCCATCAAGCCTCCTCACTAGTCTTTTCCCTTCAGTTTTTCCCCCAGGGAAAAATCTGGTCATGTCACTCCTTAGCTCAGAAACCTTTCATTGGCTCCCTGTTGCTTACAGAACAAAGTCCAGACTCTTTGAGCAGCATGCTGTGAGGGCCCCCACAATCTGAACCAAAGTGCACGCTTGTGTGTGTGTGTGTGCGTGTGGTGGTGGTGGTGGGGGAGGAGAGGTGTGTAAGAAAACCAGAAAGTTAGTAAGGAGAGCCTTAAATGCCAAACCGAGATCATATTCGAGCTTGGACACAATAGGGAGCTAGTAGTGTTTACTGAAGAATGAGATTGATCTGATTGGATCTGCCCTTCAGGAGAATTGATTTGGCAGTGGTGTGGAGGAGGGGCTGGACCGGGTGATCGGCCTCAGGTGTTGGCAGTGGTAAAGGCCAGAGATGGGGGAGCCCTGAACTCTCGTGGTGACTGTGTGAGAGGGGAGAAAGCAACGTTTCTGAGATCTACACGTAGAAACTACACCATGTGGCAACTGGGTCAGCTAGGGTTTGAACAGGTGGACTAAGTGAGGGTTAAAGTTGACACTGAGTTTGGGAACCTGGCGTGGGAGACAATTCCTGATGGTTTTGAAAATGTTTTTAGAATGAATAGTTTCCTTTCTCAGCTTGCAGTTATGACCCAGGAGTCCATACTTCTAACTGCTTGAAAAGCTGATATGAAATTGGATAGCTGCCTGTCTTATTGAATTCCATGTGGGACCAAAAAGTAGATCATGTGGACTTGGGGAGTCTACGCTGTCTCCATTTTCCTGCTCCTCTTTGATGCAGAATTAGAAGAGACCTTCTTAAGTAGCAGTTCTAGCTCCCAGCGTAAGAGGATGAAGCCTACTTTCAGAGAACAGAAGAAGAGCTTTAGTGGCCCCACTTGTAAACCTTTTTGAGTCAGGAGTTGAATATAAATTCCACTTAGTAGGCTCCTGGGTCTTATAGCAGTCTTGGCCAGGGAAAGGAGGATAAATTATCTTTAAAGGTATGAAACAGGTTCTCAGGCTCACGGCAGAAACTCATCACAGCTCAGCCTCCATTGGTGTGCTTTGTGGCCAGTCATACAACACAAAGCCACAGTGAATAGCTCCCTGGACCTGGATTCAGGAAGGCCTGAGTCTGGATCCAGCCTCAGACACTTAACTGTGTGGCTTTGGGCAGGTCATTTAACTTCTCAGCCTCAGTTTTCCCATCTGTAAAATGGGATTAATAATAGCACCTACCTCAGAAGGATCAAATGAAATAATACTTGTAAAGTACCTTGCAAACTTTTGCATGCTATACCCAAAATGCCAGCTGTTATTAATAATAAAAATGAAATGAAAGACACCTTCCAGTCCCTGACCTGTCTTGCCTGTGGTGAGGACTTGTCCATCTCTTTTCCTTTCCTGCCCAGTACTCTAAAGCTCCTCAAACACTCCTGGATGAGGAGTGATTTCTAAGCATTAACAGTGGAGACCTTCAGTCCCTCTGCTTATCTGTGGTGGCTGAAGAATGCAGTCAGCTGGGGTGGAGGTTGGGGCACGCCTTGGCCTCGAGCTCTGCTGCTACTGTGTGCTTCTCCTTCTCCACTCCCTGTCCCAGCACCTCCGCCTTTTCCTCCTGGCTGACAGTAGGAATGCTGACTTTGCTTTCTGAGCACCTCGGCTATACTGAGAACGTGCCAGGGTATGAGATGGGGCTCCTGGTGCAGTGTTCATTCTTACCTGCCTTTTGTGTCTTATTGGGGCGGTGCATATGGGAATGCATTTCCTAACACATCAGAAAGACTCTTAAAATTGAGGCACCAGCTAATGACCCCCGAGGTCTCATATACACCTTGGGGTTTAACTGAAAAAATATTTGTAAAATCATGTCAGTTTTTAAATGTCAGGGATCTGATTGTTGCTTCTGTGACAAATACACCAGCCTAACGCAGTGCAGGGAGCCTTGGCCTAGACTGGGTGGTAGGAGAAGAAAAGCACCAGTTTGGGCATCAGAGGTCATGGGTTCAAATCCTAGCTCTGCCTTGAACTCCAAATTGCAGCCTTCCTCTAGGCCTCAGTTTCCTCATCTGTAAAAAAAGGGCCTCTGCAGTTCTTTTCTCCCAGTGCCAGGTGTGACATGAACTTAGTGGGACCCTGGGCAAGTCTCTTCCCCACGCAGGGCTTCTGTTTGCTCTGCTGTAGATGAGGGTGCTTAACCCCATAATGTCCAGTGGAGCCCTTCCAGAGCGAGCCTCCAGCGACTTGAAGATCAGAAAACTCCCAGACAGTACGTTAGTGTCGTTCCTCTTGGGGTTGGGGAAAAAGCAGGCATCGGTGTGGCTAAGCCCAGGGGACCCAGTTACTGCACATGCTCATTGGCTGTGTTTCAGTTTATCAATAGCTAACCATCAGTTTTGGCTTTTGCTCAAGGAAATCTCCAACTGCTTTGTAAGTTTCTTTTAAATTTTAAATTACAGGTCCACCACTAGCCCTGGCGAGACTTCTGTCAGGTGAGTAGGCTCTCCCGCACACGGTTCCCACCCCGCGATGATGCTCTGCAGCACCTGGTGCCCCTTTCCCTAGTTATTCCTCACAGGGTGGGTCTGAGTGTGTCCTCTCTGCTCTTGGCTTCCTGAAGACGGCGAGGCTAGTATGGAGCTGCTAGCTCAGAGGGAATGCCCTAGGATCCTTCTAGTCAGGGGTTTTAGACTGCCCCGGCACCTCTTTCCACTCAACGGGACTTTACTTTCCTTCTTTGCCCAGAGAGGAGACTGACTGACCAAATGGTCCAAGGCCCCAAACGTGGAGTTGCAGGATCAGAGGTCAAGTCCTGGCTTGGCCCCTTTTGAGACCTTGAGTGTCACTTGAATCTGGTGGGCCTTAGTTTCCCCCTTTGTAAAGCAAGCGGTCTTAGGCTCCTTCCAGACCCAAGTCTCTAATCCTAAGAAATCTTTCGGGTAAATGTAGCTTGGCACAGCAGTCCAAGAGCTGGGTGCAGAGCCAGGACTTCTCCCTTTGATATTTCAGGGGTGTGTGACCCTGGGCAAGTCACATCTGCTCTGTAGGACCAGATTGTTTCTAAGGTCCCTTCCAGCCCTAGAGAGACTGGGTTCACTTAGCACAGTGCCTGGCACACAGTAGGTGCTTAATAAATGTTTATTGACTGAATGACTGGCTGAATGATTAGCAGGCTGTGGAGGTCTTTCCGACTTAGAGGTTCTCTGAGTGCCTTCCTTGGAACGGTCAAGCATAAATTCAGACATGTTTATAGGAGATGGCTGTGGTAAGAGCCGAGTATCCTGCTGAAGGTGAACACGGCAGGGGGCATGAGCAGAGGGTCAGCAGTGCCCCAGGTGGTGCGTGTGGGCTTGTCCTTCTCTCCCTTTCCCTGTGTGTGTTCTCGTGGGGCTCACGCTTTCTGTCAGAGAGAAGGTGTTTGATAACTTAGATGCAGGGGTTCTAGCTCGTTTGATGGCTTCCAGAGCCCTGGCATGGAGAGTTTTGTGTAATGCAGAGGGAGTGAGTCCAGTGGGGAGTTTCAGGCAATCGACCGGGCAAGAGAAAGCTGTCAGCAGTTGGTGGGCCCCTCCTGGCTCCGCTGAGCCGCTCTGTAGAGGGCTACCAGCCCTTTTGATCAGAGCCAAAGAATCGTTTAAAGAAATTCAGAAGAGAGTTTTATGTTTTGTTTTCTTTAGCCTAGATTCCTCATCACTCTTTGAAGCCCTCCCAGACCATTAGCCTTTATAACAAAGGGTTTTTTTTTTAAGAAGAAAAAAACAGTCAGCAAAACTTTTTAGGTCACTGGGTGGCTGTGCAGTGGTTAGAGCACCAGGCCTGGAGTCAGGAAAACATGAGTTCCAATATGCCTTTTAGCTGTGTGAACCCAGGTGAGTCCTTAAGCTCAGTCAGCCTTTTTTTTCCTCATCTGTAAAATGGGGCCAATAATAGCATCTACCTCCCAGGATTATTGTAAGGATTAACTGAGTTATTTGTAAAGTGCTCAGCATGGTGCCTGGCCCATACTAAGCCCTGTATAAATGTTGGCCATTAAGATTATTATTAATCAACCCATTGAAAAAACTGCCTTGCCCATCCTTGTCCACTGTCTGTCCCCTGCCCCTGTTTTCCCCTCTGCAGAGGAGCTGGGGCTGGTGGGGGGAGGGGGGCACAGGGAGATTTCTGTGGAGCCGAGCCATGATTTGTGGGAATGGGCCTTTCCATCCTCCTTAGGGCTCCCATTATGTAAGCTGCTTTCCTGGCTCTGCTCATGTCACATTCTGTCATTTCATGCCAGTCTTTGCCCGCATCTCTCTCTCTCTCTCTCTCTCTCTCTCTCTCTCCCTCTCTCCCCCCATCACATTTGTCGTGCCTTAGCACAGCCAATATTCCTTTACATTCATGTACCACTGTTTGCTGAGCCTCGGTCAATGGGCATCCCCTTGTTTTGCCATCAGTATTTTCATGTTTGTACAGCTTTTCTTTTTGTTAATGATTAGTGTTAGCAAATCTTAAAGCTAGAGAGGAACTTGAGAGATCCCCATTTTACAAACAGGAAAACTGAGGCTGAGGTGAAGTGGAACTGTTTGGGGACCAAGCCCATTGATGATGGGCACTGCCTTTCTCTCCTCCCAAGCATCATATTCCCGGCCCCATGTCAGTACTTCGAGAAACTCCTGATCCCATGGCGGAGGAGGGGGAGAAGGCAGATCACCCACCACTCCTTTATGCTTGGCTGAGCAGGCTCCACGAGCTGCCACGGCCTAGAGACATGACTCATCTGGTGGCACATCGCTGCTCTGCACCTTGCTGTGCACGTAGCTCACTGGGGCCCTTCTGGTTGGGTAGGAGGTGCCCAGGGTCACACCCATCCACCCAGAGGCTTTGGAGCAATCCAATGGAAAGGAGTCCCATTAGTTAGCACTCGTCACTTATTAGTTATCATGATGTTACTTGGATAAACCAGTCTTAATTCATGGTCGTCTCTTGTCCCCGGAAAGGGCATTGTCATAGGAATTGAAATCTGACCTTGGCAGGATCCTTCTGTCGTGGGGAGGTGTGTGGGCCTTGGCAGATGGGAGAGAGTGTTTGTCTCCATTTCCTGGTCTGTCTAAATGAAAGCAAACACTGGCCTTATTTTTTTAGCAAATGCAAACTTCAGCAGACTCCTGAACTGTCTACTTTCTTTGTGGAAAAAAATCAGTGGAGACATTTTAAAGCTCATACTAAATTTCCCACTGTGAAGCACACAGGCGATACAATGGGGTTACATTATGTATAAGCATGTCAAGACTCGCTGACCGAGGGGAAACTGCATCTAGAAAAAGAATCAGCGTATGAAACAGCCTCTCTGCCCTTCTGTTTTAAAAGGAGAAGTGTCTCCATGATTGGTGCAGTTTGAGGATGGTTCCCTGGCTCAGAAAAAGACTTCATTTAGTAGGAAGGAGCTTTATGGATGATCTTAGGAAGCCTCACCATTTCCACTAGGGAGCCTCCATTTTCACCCCCCAAGATACAGGAGAGACAGAGGTATGTCTTTGAGGCACTGCCACAGTCTGACTGGGAATGAAACTCTCTGTGGCTCTCTTCATTTTCAAATAATGAAAATGTAATTTTGACTAGAGTCTCAGTTGACAGCAGACTTTCCTGTCCTTTGCCTTGAAGGCCTTCCTGCTTGAGGGGTTTGTGGAAGGCCTTTGGCTGCTGGGGGACACCACGAGTAGTCTGGGCCGTCCTCTTCTCCTTCCTGTCCTCTGAATGCTGTTTCTGCGTTTTGTAACGATCCTCCAAATCCTTTATGGAGCACCAGGGCCTGTTTTCTTTCAAATATAAAGTCCTGGTCCCTTAGTCATTGTATGAAAGCTTTGGCTCTGATAGCCTGAAGCCTGGTCAGTTGAAGTGACACCTTTGTACAGGTGGAGTATGTTGGCAAGACAGATCAGAATTGATAAGTATAAAGAATCCTTATCCACTAGGAGAAATATGGGGTTGCCTTCAGCTCTGATCTCAGCCAGTCATTTATTAAATACCTGCTGTTCAGCTGCTGAGGATGCACAGGTAAAAGTGAAGCAATCCTTGCACCCTGGGAGCTTCCATTCGAGTAAGGAAGACCAGCCCATCTCTAAGTAGATGCCAAACATAGAGCCCCGAGAATCCAGGGTAGCTGGGGTAAGGAGGGCCCTGTGCCCGGGGGTGGAGGGAGACAGAGAAGGGCTTCATCCAGAAGGGCTTCTGGAGTTCTCATTCCAAGATGCTGAGGTAAGGAAGAAGAAGAGCATGCCAGGCATGAAAACAGCGGGTAAGTGAGTGCAGTGACGGAGAAATGGAGCGATATCTGCACGAGGTACTTGAGGAATCATGTGCAGGCCACCTTGAAGGGTTCTACTTCCAGATAATAGAAGGTCTTCACGATCAATAATCTGAGAAACCCAAATTTCCCTGTTTGTATTGCAAGTGGCCCAGGCACTTGCAATACAAACAGGGAAATGTGTTTATGTATGTATGTATGTTATGTTTGTATGTAAGCTTCTCCTTATAGACATGTCCTGCATAGTGATGTGACATTGAAATTGATGCTGAAGAAGATTGGTTGCTGGGCAAGCCTGTGGCGGCAGTGCCCCGTTAAGAGAGATTTTCAGTGTAACAGGCGGGTTTTCAAAATGAAAGCAATATAATGTGGGCGAATGATAATGACACTGACCTCACTGAGCTCTGTGGGAGTTGCTTTGAGCTATAGGCCTACAAACACGTGGTAAAAATGGGACCCCTCTTGTGGTTTGAACATGTTTGTGTTTCACAGGCAGTCCTTGGGGCAAGAAATGAAAGTAAGGGACCACAGACAGTTATCTAGACATTGGAATAGTAATCAAATTGATGAAAAACATTAAAAGGAAGGCTTGGGACTTCTGGTGCCAGGATGGCAGAGTGAAGAAGGAAGCCCTTCCAAATTCCCCTCCAAACAACTAGAAAACTGCCTCAGAATTGATCCAGGAGCAGAGAAGCAGTTTACCAGCAAGGTAGGAAAGGTCTGTCTCACTGGGGTGGGAGGGGAGCAGGGTCCAAGAGCAGCAGCAGCAGCAGCAGCTAGGGGGGCCTGCAGCAGGGCTCCAAGCCTTGGACAATCTGCCAGTGAGGCTCCACCCTCCTGCAAGGCAGCAGCCCTCTAGGCAAGTGGGCAGCCTCTGCAGCTCAGGGAGGCCCCACCCCAGTGACCACACCCTCAGCACCAGCCACCAAGCCACCACTGAGGCTCTGACCCAGTTGCTGCCCAGTGGTGAGGCCCTGCCCCAGGGCTGGCCAGAAAACAAACCCTGTTTCCATACCAACCCAGCAGCCTGGCCCCAGCACCCAGGAGAGGCCAACAAGGAGGCCCACTCCTCAGTACATGTCAGAAGGGAAGCCTACCCTCCAGTGAAGGCAAGTAGCTAAGCCCTTAAGCCCAGTGAAAGCCAGCAGTAAGACCCTGAGCCCTAACACAAAAAGCTTGGGGCAGTGCGGGACCAGAGCCCAACTC